GAGGAGTGCATTTTTGTATGCTATATTATATCGGGGAAAGCAAATAGTATTTGGAAGGTACTAAACCAACCTAGAAAGAAGATTATGGCAGTAGGATTGGAATAGAAAATCTTTGGATGAGACTAGTATGAACATCTCTGTCGGTTTCAGATCGGGAAATGCTTTTCTTTTCTTTCTCGAATCTCGAAACCGTAACATGATGGCTCACCTTTTTAATCTGCTAATGTTTATTTTTCAGAAAAGAAAAAATATGTCGGTAAGAATGTCAAACTAAAGTTGGCAAAAAATTAAAAAAGAGAACGTAAATCTAAAATTAGATACGATGGGGATAAATATAATGCTTTCTCTCTGTTTTGTTTTACGAACGATTTGTTGGGTTCTATTTAAAGCAACAACGGAGACGATAACTTACTAATCATTTTTTTCCCAACTTACTAATTATTTCAACATTACAGTAAAAGGTATTCCCGGAGAAAAAGATAAAGAGATAAGCATTATCCTCTCAATTATAGGTTACGTGGAAGTGACATTTGCGTCTGACTCTCTTCCATCCTCCCACCTTAATGGCAATTACTTCAGCTAACGTGAATATGCAAATTGAAAAAAAAAAAAGTTCAAGAAAATAAGATAACCACGATATTTTACACCCCTTCTATTCTTAGAGATTATTTGAATAAAAACTAAATTATGATTTTAAAAATAATTTTATAATATACGAAATAAATATGAACAGTAATCTATCTTTATTTAATGGCAAGTGCTTTTGAAAAACACTCATGCAGGAAGCCAAACACTATTTTAATCTTAATGTAAAACCTAATTTAAGAGTTGAGACTCATCTTATATATGAGACCTATTTTACATGTCTGTCATTTTTTTTAAAATTAATCTTATTAATATTCTCTCAATAATAATCAAGTATAAGAAGGAGAAAAAATTAAAAAAGATGATCAGTGTTTGAGAAAAAATATAATCATACTAACTAATTTTAACTAATGTTCTTAATTCACGTAAATTAGTTAATTAGGTCTTGTATTAAGGATAGGAGGAGTAACAACTTACTAAGTACTACCTCCGGTCCTAATTATAAAAGCTAGTTGACTAATTTGAGAATATTAAAGAAATAAGTTGAGTTAGTTATTTGTAATAAATAAGTGTTATTTTTCCTAAAATATCCTTACTAATCAAGTGTATTGGTTAGAATTACCATTATTAGAAAGATTATCTTGTGAAAAAATGTATAAATATGAGAAACAAAGTGGATTGGAGTCTTACATCTAAGATCAAAATAAAAATTAAACGAGATCTTATATTAAGGACCAGAGGTAGTATTTAATACATATACTACAAATAAAAAAAATTAATCCAGGTGATTACACAATATACAACTCCGAGTCCAAATATAATATTTACAAAATAGATCCTATTATTAAAGATCAAAGTTAATATAAATTTTGGGTAACATGGGCTTCGACATGAGGAAAACTCCTAAACGTTATTCTGGAAGTTATGAAGGGCGCGTTATTAAGTAACGGGTAACCCACATTTATTGGGCTTTTTTGTTTTATTGGGCTTAGAGAAGGAGACTAATATGAATGGTCCATCTACTACAGTGATATCGTGCACTCAAAGTCAGCTTCATTTAGTCCTTTTTAACTCTCAAGAATTAAAATTACTGACCAAAAGTTCAATATATGTATATATAAAACTCATTTTAAAAAAATAAAATATTGGTTATGTACTACTCTATAGTCTATCCATTCACGTCAACGTTATCATGTCGTCATCTCGCTATAGCAAGATAACAAGAAGAAGGCATCTTATCCATCTCACACGCAGTCCACAAATAAGGAATTGGATGTGATAATTCCATTAAATTTTTTGTGTGTATCGGATTCGCAAGCATGTGTGGAGCTAATTGACACCCACTCCAATGTCTGCCAAGTGGGGACCTTCAAGTTTGGATTTTTATGGTTCAGCCCCAAAAACCCATCATGATTTATGACCCAATGCATCTCCAACCATACCTGCAACGCAAAAATAATCATACTGTCGCAAACCTATGTGCTGTAGTTGGTGGATTCTGCTGCCGTCATTCGATCTTCAATCTTAATCTCTCCAATGCATTGTTATTGATCCTTCAAGGAAAAACATGCAAGGTTGACACCAAACAACATGTGTACCAATGACATCATTATATTTCAAGTTTGTCTGGTTTGGCCTAATTTCACCGATAACAATGAGCAAGTGAAGTCTATGAAATATTCTTATTTTGCAGGATTTGACGAAGTTTGCTTGTCACCTAAAACTAGAGCTGGTAATATGAGCCAGCCCGTGACGGGTCTGAAAACTTACGATTCGGTCTTTTTAGGACTGTCTTCTAGCGGGCTGGGATTTTTCCAACCCAGCCCGCCAACCCTCCAATTTTTTTTATTTTTTTCTTTTAATAAAATTTACTCAAATTCCCAAATACCTAAAATAAAACATACAAATAAAAATTATAAAAAATAAAACATAGAATACAAAGTTTAAACTTTTAAATACTCCTCTGGTCCTTAATATAATACTCAATTGTTAAATTGATTTTGATTCTAAATATAAGACCCATTTCTCATATTTATCAATTTTCTCTAAATTACCCCTATGGATACTCTTTCAACCATAATCAAGTAGAAGAGGGAGAAGGGATATTAAGAAAGATGATTATGGTGTTTTAGGAAAAATGTGTCACATTTTTTACAATTAACTAACTTACCTAACTTCCTTAATCTATTCAAATTAGTTATATGAGTTTCATATTAAGGATCGGAGGAGTATCTCAAAATATTAAACATGATTACATAACCCATCCATCCAAAATGATTTAATAAACACTCAAATTAAAACATAAATCCAAATTAACAACAGCACAATACTACAAAGTCACAAACATAATGTGTCAAGTGCTCAATCATGACTCATGACTCCTACACGGTGCCTTCCATTCAAAAAGAAAATTAAAAAAAAAAAAAGTAAAACGGGCTGGCTTGCCAACCTTGCCGGTTAGCCCACCGTGGTTATGAGCTTGGGGGTTACGAGCTCAAAAAATTCGTTTTAAAACGATTCCAATTTTTATCAACTCAACCCGCCACTTAGCGGGTTGAACCCACAGGCTCAACTCATATTACCAGCTCTACCTGAAACCCATTGTCAACCTGCAATAATTCACATATCCTTGCTGTTACTCACAAATGTTATGTTCATCATAGTGATTCTGAAGCTGAAATGCTGGCAGAGATCCTCTCTTCCACTTGGTGATCATGTAATAAAGTGGAAACAAGGAGACAGAGACAACCACCACAACCAAAAAAACATCATTTGGGTTTTACCTAGGACTTGGAAAATACTTGATGCCGTAGAAGTTCAAAAAATTTCCTCATCTCTGAACATAAAACAGTAGCAATCATATGTAAGCACTGGCATTATATGCAGGAAATGACTGATATATTAAGCGATGATCACGGCATTAGTGGAGTAGGTTAAGGTGGTTGATGTAATAACTTTCTTGACTATTTTGGGTTAATGACTTTCTTGACTATATTAAGCGATCATCCCAGAAATTTACAATCTAGTTGAGAAGTAACTGGGCTGACGAGCAACAGGAATAAACACAGTAATTAGTACAATAGGTGAAGTAAAAAACAAAGAAAGATTCGTGCTTGTACGCTTCAGAACATTTGGTAATGACCAGCAAAAGGGAAGCTACGATGAATAATGACTCTGATTGCAGCAATGATGTTTTAGCAAAAATCCTTTCTTGCTTCATGGCATTGTTGAAACTATCATTATTGAACAGAAACAGGGAGATATTGGTTTCTAGTAAATGTTGTAATAAATCAATCTCTTTACCGACTATGTAAATTTAATTACACGAAGATTGCAATCTATCAACTGCCTACATTAGTTACACCTATCAACCTCGACCTAACAATTAAAATTTAATTATTTTGTTAATAATATTGACACCCTTCTTCAAACTCAAGACATGGGAATGGAGATGACCTTGAGTTTGCTCATAAAGGTCCCAGAATGTTTTGGGTTATGTCATCTTGGTGAATCAGTCAGTTGATTTGATTTAAAGCAATGAGATGCATACAATATGCCCATCAACAATTTGCTATTCAGCACAGTGACAATTCATTTCAATTTGTTTAGTGTCCTCATAAAAATATCATTTTGAACGACTTAAATAAAAAGTGGACAGTATCTGCGGAAGACAAGGAAGCATTGAAGCCAAACAAGAGATCGTTAGTAGCATTTGTAATTAAATACTCTATATTAATTTTTCAGGAGGGTTTAATCACAAAGGTATAATGAAGAATGCTTAAACAGTAGCTTGACTTAGGAGCACTTCGGTGATTTATCATTTTATTCGTCTTAAACAATCTATTCATTACTTCACACATATGTTTGATTTTAAAACAGTGTCTGAAGCTGGTCTGGGAGATTTTTTGTCGTTCACTGTCTTGGGGAAAATCTTAATCAGCCTTGTATATAGTATATTCCCTTTTGTCTGTTTGTTTATGTTATTCTATCAATGCGCATGTGGAAGTCTCGCACATGCTAAGTCACCAAGATCAGATAGACAGATACCCTCTAAGTTGTCACCATTTTCATAATAATACTACTTAGAATCAAGCACATCTTATCAATGCTGATACTTGTTCTTTTTTCCCTCGCCCTCCTTACGTTTTGGGATTGTTTTAGGCTGGCTTTATGTAGCATCATCCTCCTTATCGATAATAATACTCTTCCGGTCTGTAAAACCCATTTGGACCGGGGGAGTACCAGCTTGTGCCACAACATGACTCAATGACAAATTTCTGGCAGCAAGAAACCTGAACGATAAATGCACGTTGAAGTGCATTAAGTCAATATCATTTCTATGAGGACGAGATCATTTGGGGTGATACAAATAGATGAGACAAATATAAAACTGATATTCATGTCACAAAACAGTATTGAATGATGCCGGACACGTGAAATATAGAATATATGTCAACAAAGTCTGAGCCCAACATAAGGAGCTCTAACACAGATGAACAGAGACGTGTGTTGCAGATTGGAAGACAAAACACAGCAAAATTGGCCCCACGAGCAGTCACTAATTTAGCCAGAGATTCCTATAACAGCTTTTTCAAACACGTAACTTGCCAAGGAGATTTCCTCTCATGACGAGAAAAATCTCGTTTCTTATTATAATAGATTACATCAACAATGCACAGTTGGATTCTCTGATTCTCCTAGAAAAGTTACAATGCATTTTGCGGTGGAAAGAAAGAAGAAAACTCACTCAATTCTTTTCACTAGTGCCTCTATTGGTGGGCCACAACTTACTTAACATTCTTTTGGGTTGATTTGGAAGACCACGGATAGCCTTGGGCTTAGAACTTCTCTCAATTCCATTGCGGGTAACACCGTGTTCGTCGAAGCCATTGTCCTCTGCAAGCTTCATCCTGAGAGTTGAACTCCTAGACCTAGGTGACTTGAGGCCAGAAACACTCCATTGATCATCTGCATGTATGCTTGTTGTTGTGCTCAATGGACCAGTGTGTTTTAATGGGTCAAAGCCATGTGTCGTAAGTAGTGCCCTGAGATTGCTTGGCAAGTCTGTCACTTTGCCACCAGCTGCTGCAGCTCTCGCTTGCTCAAAGAAGAGTACTTGGACTACGACCCTCAAGGGGAGAAGTTCGTTCTGTGCTGCATGCATGCAAGCTTCCATGGACAGTTTTTTGCAGTCAAGGATTCTGCATAGCCTTTTCCTTTCGCTTTTGTTGAGTTGTGGATGAGCCTGGATCAAAACCCAGTATAAATTATAGTTATATTAAACTAAATAGGTACTCCTGCGAGCTAGAAATTTTACAGACTGGTTTTCTTATTTTCGATAAATTGTTAAGTACATTTCTCACTTTCGTGTGCAAGGACGATCTTTAAGATTTTTCCTTGTTTCCTTCCATGGCATAGTTTATACAAGTTCATCTTAAATGACAGCCAGACATACTACATTATCTAGAGTATAACCATTCAAGTGAAGAACTTAAGAACATGTATTTCTTTCTCAATTTCTCCGGATCTACATAACCATACAAGTAAATTCGCAGACACCCGAATAAAAACCAGCAGTATATATCACTAACAACAAGGATCTGTTGACGTTAAATTCTGGTGGGTCAACCTAAACCTAACCGGAAATAAATGTTGAATAAGACAAGATTTTGATGTCAAGAGAGCAGATTATCCACTACTGATGTCGCACACGCTAAAATGTGAAAGTATAAATAAATAAAACGCAGAAATTATATAGCACTGAACATTTTATCTTGTAATATTTTACCTTGAGATAAATGTCAATGGCTTTGTAGAGATCATCATGATCATGTCTGGCAAAGTCTGGTATAGCCTCAGCAAGAGCAATGAACTTGGACATGGGCAAATTCACGTCCTTAGAAACCTCTTGGAGATACCTATCCACTAGCTTTGCCACCTTCAATTTTGAGCTATGAGATGCTGAAGATGACCTTCTACTCTCCTGGAATTCAAAATCAATATTTTCAGCTGAACGTGACCTCCTTCTCTCAACTGCCAGCCTGGATCTTGGTGGGCTGGTCGGGGGACTCTGACCTTGTAACCTGAATTGTTCCAGTATAGTCATCACCAACTCAACATCATACAGCATGTCATTGGTGTAAGACAGTGAAGGTATTAAAAGATCATTCACTGTAGCTTCCTCCAACTGAAGTCCTACTCTTCTAGCTAACTCCATTTTTGAAGAGGAAGAAGCATTGAGGATGGTGGCTGCTTTCAAGAGTTTAAGAAGGAAACTACAAGAGACAGCCCCTTTCTCTGCTGGAAGCAAGCTTGCTATTGTTTCCAAAAGCAAACGATGCTTTGAGGTTATTTCACTTGCCGAGTCTGAATCAGAGTCAGAAGCAACTTTCCTATTGGATTGTGATGTTCTTGAGATGTTAGGAAGCCAACGAGAAGCATAAATTTTCAATGCATCTCCTATGATATTTGAGGGCATCTTGCAACCAGATTTGATTGCTATCATGGTCCTCCAGTAGAGGTCTATGCTCAGTTCTGCTAAATCCTCCGCCCACCATCCTTTACTTGCTGATTTATGTCTCTGACTTTCGCTTCCATTGCAAGATATGTCGTCCCTGACCCTTCGAGAGTGACTATGAGACAAACTTACCTTTGAGGGGTGACTCCAAACCTTAGAGGCAATGGCTTCAATACATCTGCTTGTAATTGATAAGTCCTCAGACCACAAAGGCAAAGCTTTGGTGCTCTGTAGAGTCATAATAGAATCCTTCCAACCATGAAGAATACAAGAATTGAAGAAAACCTCAAGCTTATATATTAAGTTCCCCTTCTCCACATCTTCTGTCATCTGTAAGTATTCAGCAGCACATCGAGCAGCTACAATGTTGTAAGCACTAAGAGTGATGGTAATGCCATAACAGAACTTAGCACACAGTTCGAATGCCTCCACTCCGCCAGGAAAATCAGGGAGCTGAACTATCTGATGAGGCGAAGAATCCGGTGATTCTGAGCATAACCTTTGTAGGCGCAGGCATTTAGACAGCAGGGGAAACTGAACAGAATCAGAATGAACTTTCAGATGATCAAGAACAAGTAGAGAGGACAAGGAAAATAAAAAACTTCTGTTATTGATATCCTTAATTTATCAAGGAGCTTACCTTGTGAAGAAGATATCTACTTTCTTTCACTTGAATTATGAGGTCGTTGGAAACTTCAGAAGAGACTGATCTGCATGCAGAGACAATAAACTCCTTAAAGATGCATCTTCTAGGATTAAAATGTCATGTTCATGATTAATGTCTTGCGTCACTTACCTTACAGCTTCTGTGGTGTAGAAGGTATCTGGACGAGATCCTAGTTTCATAAACTTCATGACTACTTATTTTTCTATCCCTCTAGGCTTACAGTTTCTCCTCCACTACTGCATGCGTCAGCTAGATGAATTATAGTTCGCTATAACTCCCCTCGAACAGCTACTGAAAAAGGTTCTGCAAAAATTATCGAAGTGATTATCACTTGTTGCTCAACAAGTGAGCAGGCCCATGTGGAAACTGAACCAAAAGAACTCGAGAGAATCAGACAGAGCCCTTGAAAGAAAAAAGATTAATGAACTCTCAGAAGGACAAAGAGAAGATGCTAGAATTTACTTGGTGAAGAGAGGATGTAAAAGTCCAAGAAGAAGAAGGAAAAAAAAAAAAAAAAGACCAAGAACTCTGTTGGGGAGAGCAACAATATATGCTAAATTAACAAGAAGGATCTAGGAAAATGTTACACTTGAAAGAAACCCAGCAGTTCAAACACTTCAAAGTTATGTCATTTCAGTCAAATTGCAAACCCCATGTGATTTGGACATTTAAACAAAGAGCTAGAGGGCAATGCAAGACATAAAATTCAGACATACTCGCACCCCAACAGAGTCAATCAGATTTCAGAGGCCACACAGTCAGACAGTAAAATAAACTAATACCAACCAACAGCTTGAGAGAGAGAGAGAGAGAGATTCTTTCAAGAACATATCAATAGTTAAATTAGAAAAACTCAAGGGTTCAGACTTTAGATATCAACCTGAGGTAAGAAGAGCCTCTAGTTGCTCTCTCAATGCAGAAACTGCCAATCATTCATAGGAAAATTCGACCTGCAAAAACTGTGTCACTTTGTTTATTTTTCTTTCTCTTTGCTGCTCCAAAGAAGAATATATATTATTTTGGGCAAGAACTTAGAAAGAAGAATATGAATATGATTTTAGTGGGTTTTGCTATGGACATGCCAGCGTGCCATTCTATAGGCAACTCACACGTGCTTATCCTGCGCCCACTAGTGTCCCTCTTCTCCATCATTACCACTGCATCTCTCTCTCTCTCTCTACACATGTGTGTGTGTGTGTATTCAGGTTTTCTTTTCGGGAACGCGATATTATTATTTCAGAAAATTATTCTTATATATAAAGATGCCATTTTTATTTTTTACCTTGAGACTCCGTAGATTATTATAGTCAAACACTAGTTTATTTTATACGTAACATCGTACGTGTTTCTCTATCTTTCCTTTCGCTCATCAATTCTAAAAAGCGAATATTACAGAGAAGATAATTTCTTTCACCTGTCCCATATAAAAAGGAGTGCAAGTTGTTGTCTAAAGTTAAAAAGTAAAAGAAATCAGAAAAGGGAAAAGAAAGAATAGGGATCATAGATGTATATCACTCACTGTATCGTATCGCTATCAAAGACAACTTTCTACAATCCTATGGCGGATAGCCTCAACCTGCTTTTTAGTTTTATCATATAAATAATCACGGAAAGAAAGTTCAAAGATTCGCCCTTTGGTTTACCAGCAATAACCATTCCGCCATTCTTTGTCTCTTGAGTTTTCTGAGCTGTGACCTGTTTGTTTTTCTTTATAAGCATTCATTTACATTTATAGCGATCAGTCCAGAAGGTTTGAATTATACGTGTACATGACTATGTGTTTTAATTGGTGTGAAACCAAGAAAGTTGAGGCCATACACCATTCCTAAGATGTTGGTGTTTGATTAGGTGAAATTAAGCTTTCTGAAGGCAAATTAAAGCTTCAGGTACTGAAATGGTTAGAATGTGTTAATCTTGCAGTTGAGGGTCATCTTCAACCTTGGTTTCCTTTTGTGACGGATGGCTTCTGCTATTTCCGGATGTCTTTATTTTTCATCAGCCTAAGGGGAAAAATGAGACTGATGACGTGTGGGCCCATTTATTGGTAGAAAGATGAAAGGAAGAACATCATAAGACTAACGAGGCTATGATATTCATGATTGGTTTCATATATACTCTGATGAACAATCAGAATATTAGAGTAATTTTCCTGATTTTATTAATACTTTAAATTAAATACTCCTCCGGTCCTTAATATAGGACTCAATTGTTGAGTTGGTTTTGGTCCTAAATATAAGACCCATTTATCATATTTATTAGTTTTCTCTAAATTATCCCTATGGATACTCCCTCAACCATAATCAAGTAGAAGAGGGAGATGGAGTATTAAAAAAGATGATTATGGTGTTTTAGGAAAAATGTGTCATATTTCTTATAATTAACTAACTTACCTAACTTTCTTAATCTAATCAAATTAGTTAAATGGGTCTTATATTAAGGACCGGAGGAGTATTATATATTCACTGAAAACTTGAAAAGGAATAATATTGAAAAGGTTGGTCGGGTCCTAATTATATGCCTCATCAATCCAAGTCTATCCTAAATCTCAACGGCCTTCTTTTATATGTTACAATAATGAATAGTGATTTCGTTGCTAAAAGATGATGATAAAATTAGCTGAGATCACTTTGCTTAGTTGTGATGCTTCTAATAGGTCATATATAACGAATAATCTCATAACTATTTTTTAGAAAGAAAAAAGAAGAAGAAGAATTCCTATGGGCATATATAATTAGGTGGAGGGTGGTTTTCAAAAGAGCTATTGTATTATTATCGACAGAAACTTCAAGACAATTGTTTTTCTTTTTCTCTTTGTTATTATACTGCTATATCTCATGATTTTTTGTTTGTTTTTGAACCAAAGTAATATTTAAAAATAAGAAATTAGAATACCACGATTAAAAAGTTCTTGGATATATAGATGATCTCCACGGCTGTTTTTGATAGTCCTTTATAACTTTACTGCACTATATACGAGAATCAATGAACTATTACCTGTTGAAAGGATATAAAAACGAAATACTCTCTTTAGTCTTTATTATAAATTTTAAATAGCTAATATACAGATAACAAATAATTAGTTAAAATTAGTTAAACATAATAAATAGGTTGGAAATAGATTTTTGTTTCTAAATATGTCCTTATAATATATAAGAAAAAAATAAAAGAGAATGTGTGGAGAAATGTGATAAGAGAGAAATAATTAATGATAACATTAGAAAAAATGCATTAAATATTAAGATAAACAGAAGCTTATAAAATAAGCCACATTGATCTCTTCTCAAATTTAAACCTCATCAATAGGGGAGTAATTTTATATTCAATACATTTTAATGCCCACTATATATAATTAGTGTTGTGATGTGTGATGATATCAACGTAATCCCCAAGATTGTGACTGTTTCAAGAATTTTCAATTGTGCTGAGTTTTTCTGATTTGCAACTAATTACTCTCAAAAGTCGAAATTAACTTTGAATTAGTTGAGAAAAAACAAATACTCTCTTTGGTTATAAATATAAAACCTATATTTGTAGTGTAAATTATACTACAAAATATGTTTTATGTTTAAGACCAAATGAATACTTTAAAAACTGGAGCTTGAATCAAGTGGAAAAAAAAAAAGGCTTCATACTCCTTAAACAAATTTTGAGGACTTGAAACTTATGTAGAGGAAAAAAAACCACATCAAGGGAACCATACCCATTTTTTAAAGCTTAGTAATGCTTGGATTTGAATTAATCAATATCATATATCGGGTACTACATAGTTGTAATAATAAGTGTAATAATTGAGCTTGGCCCAGCAAATGAAAAAGAGGGAAAGAAAAGAATATAACAATTAGTTCCTACTGATCATGAGAACTTTTTATTTGAACCTTCTAAGAAATGACTTATTTTTTTATGATGTGGGAAAACCATGTTAATTGAGCTTATTTTAAAAAATTATAATGATTGAGGTGTCCAAGGAAAAGGTGCTTGTGTGTATCATTTTCATTTCAATGTATAAAGACATTCAAGATTTTCGAGCCCTTCCATTTCATAATTTAATCATATAGGAAGTATGAATCCAGTAAGATACCTCTCTTTTTTAAAAAAATAAAAAAAGAATGAAATTAAATAATGAGTCTATATATATACTTGTGAGATTTATGTTTCTTTTTGTTAGCTAAAAATTAAAAACAAATCCGGATCAATGATTGTCCAAACGTAGAGAGGCAATGTTCATAAGCTAAGCTGTACGTGTTTGATGTAGATTTTGAATGATCCTAATTAAACAGACGCAGAATTAATACTGATAACTATACATCTGGGCGAACAACTTCATCATAACATTGTTTGGGTAATTTTATTCTCAAAATATTAAGTTGTGCGCCTTCTATACGTCAATAATAAAATTAGATATATTGATGCTACCTAGCTATAACCCGTAGAATTTTGTCACCATAGGCAAGCTTAAACCATCAATTGTATGATGAAATATCATTCTTCCAGGAAATAGTAGGGTGTGGACGCGAGAGAAAAAGATTTTAATGGTTAAATTATACAGAAACAGAATCTTCTAAATTTTAAATTATGCAGAAAAGAAATAATTTTTGTAACTTTTATTTAACAACTTTTTCCCCAAGGCCAACAAATTTAAAAAATGCTTAGACTCGTGTAAATATATAACCTTTTCACTATTAATGTGAGGATGTCCATTGCATGTGGTTTGATTTTGCCAAATTAAACAACTAATTGCATTGATAATTGACACAGGCTCATATCATCAAATGATCCTACCCGATTTTTTTCTGTTAGTACTGTTAATCCTCACACACCAGGACTAACACCAGCAGAACAAAATTAAAAGATTTAATTGAAAAAAAATAAATGGATATCACCTTAAAAATTTTAAAAATATACGTAGCTACAAAGTGATTTTTTCCCACACACACACACGCATATAAAATATATCACAATGGTGATGCAGATGCAAACACTGATCTGTGTAAACGACACCGTTATTGTTGACTCATTAGTTTGCGACCAATTGTGGAAGAGAATATCTCACACTCCCGGAAAGCACAGATCAGGATTATTCCCAACAGAGAAACAAAACCCTTTTAGAAGGATCAAGAGAACAACAAAAGAAGATTTGATAGGGACTTTGGGGGGTTGAAATTGTACGCTGTGTTGTGCACTCAAATTAATCTGTAACACCAAAAATTGCCATAAAATAAATTATCACTCCCTTCCTGTCAAATTGCCTTGGCTTGACCGCTGGGTGAGTTGGCTCCGGCAATGGTCAGTTCTGTAATTAGTGGGTAGCGAGGAGGGCGAAAATGGAATCTCAAGTGAAAAATTAAAAGATCGGTGCGGTGGTGGCGTTTTGGATTTGGACGACAGCCACATATACTCCGTAACGGGTCCTTCTCTTTGCCTCCCAACGGGGCTGCCAAACGACACCGTGGGCCCTCCCCGTTTTGTGCTTTCTTTTCCTGTGGGCCCCCCCTTTCCTTTTGAGAATTTTGCTAACCCTTTGTTTCCTTTACATTTTAAGTATATTTCATAATCCAATTCATGACCCCGGTTTAATAAACAGTATAACTTGTCCTCCCCAAATGTTTAAGAGATTCAAGCCATATCTATTACACATTACCGTCGCCTATTGCTGCTTAAATACAAATAAACTCTCATTAGATATTGTTGCTTAAACACATGAATGGCAAGTTACGTTGCTCTACTAGTAGCGCTACCCGACATACTTAGATAAGATCTAAGGTTTAAGTTAATAGGCCCAACTTCTTCATGTGGACCCACCCTGTTATGTTGGCATTATCCTTTTCTTAAACATACTACCTCCGGTCTTTAATATAAGATCTCGTTTGATTTTTATTTTGCTCTTAATTATAAGACTTCAATTTACTTTGTCTCGTGTTTATCTATTTTTTAAAAAAAATAATCTTTCTAATAATAGTAGTTCTGGCTAATAAACTTGATTAGTAAGGATATTTTAGAAAAGGTAATATATATTTATTACAAATAATTAACTTAATTTATTTTTTTAATCTACTCA